CTCTATAAATATAATGTCCTAGTAAGATTTTCAGAGAGAATATTTAGGAGATAAATAGTTGGGTTCAAATCAGATTTCATACTTCTGATTTTTATTTAGAAGAGAATCAGAAAGAACACAATAGTTGAAAGGGAATAGCAACATGAAAAGATATACAATACCTTAAATAAGATATACAATACCGGGCCATACTTTTGAGAAAGGGAAGGATTGTAGAAGAAAGGTTGGATGGGGTTCAAATTGTATAACCCTAGAGTTATAGCATAGAGATAGGAACAAAGGAAGAGAGGTAAAACGTGAATAAAGGGCAATTTGAAACAGAGAAAAAAGTAAGTTGAACAAACTCAATCTGAATTCTACTTACTTCTTCATGATCCAGAAAAGAGAAAAATAGACCTGCAGATAAAACCTGGATTTTTTCGTTCTAGGAAAAAGTAGGCATGTTTTAAGGAAAGGATCTTTTACAGTGCACTTGTATTGTGTAAGGAAAATCAAGAAACTGGGATTTTTAATCAACCAAGTATGTTCTGGATGGAAATCTATCTTAGCTGAACACTCTTGGTACACGTTATAATTGCTACCAATAGTCTACACTCGTGTGTACAGCTATTTCAAGGTATTTGTTCTGGGTTCTTTCCACCAGCAATGCCAGGAAAGATGCAAATTAATGCCTTTTGTGAGGGTTGGTGTGATTTGCACCTGTTTGCAAAGAGCTAGACTGAGAACAACTCATTCTGAATAAGCCTGCTAAGCAGCTGTCAGATGGCAATGACGTTGATTTACTACTGATGGGGGCCACATTTGATGTTGACCCAGAAGTGAAAGACTGCTTTCCTATCTCTGGTTAGCTGAGCCACCAAGTGCCTTCTGTACTATTTTTATTGCAAACAGAAAATGTTTCTAAATGTTTTATTCCTTAAGATTCTAGTACTGTGGTGCTTTTGTTTGAAAGAAAGGATGTATTAGAAATCTGAGCAAATTAGATCCCTCACAGGCATGCATATTTGTTGCCAAAGTAGATACAGAGCTGATGTGAAGTAGCCAGAGGCTGTTTATTTCAACAGCCATGCTCTCTCTTCCTAATGGAGAACCACTGAAGTCCTCTGTGCCTTGAGCATCACAGCTGGGATCTGCATTGTCAGCACAAAACTGAAAGCTGATTATGATGACATTTTTTAGGTTAGACCCAATTAACTTCATTTCACTTTAAGACTTTCTGCACTCTACCTACTGAACCAGACAGTTTCAAGCCTAGAAGCTGCACTGTCTCTTTAAGCCAGGCATTTCTCATACTATTTGATACCAGTGTTTGCCATGGGCTGTGCTGATGAGTGAGTTAAGGCAACTTTCAAGTGTGCCTCACTTAATCTAACATGATCATGGAAGGATTTTGATTGATTGCTTGATTTATTCAATTAATTTGTTCAATATATTGTGTATATCCTCTAGGTGCTGGGACTGTAGGAGTAAACAATACAGATAAAGTCTCTTTCTTCACAAGGCTTATATTCTAACTAGAGGCCTGGTGCATGAAATCGTGCACTGGGGGGGCGGGGGAGAGGAGAGGTGTCGCTCAGCCCAGCCTGTACCTTCTCCAATCTGGGACCCCTCAAGAGATGTCCAACCACTGTTTGGGATCGGGCCTAAACCAGCAGTCAGACATCCCTCTCACAATCCGGGACTGCTGACTCCTAACCGCTCACCTGCCTGCCTGCCTGATTGCACCTAACCACTTCTGCCTGCCAGCCTGATCACCCCCTAACCACTCCTCTGCCAGCATGGTCAATCCCTAACTGCTCCCCTGCTGGCCCAGTTGCCCCCAACTGCCCTCCCCTGCAGGCTTAGTCCCCTCAACTGCCCTCCCTTGCTGGCCTGGTTGCCCCTAACTGTCCTCCTTTGCTGGCCTGATCACCCACAACTGCCCTCCCCTGCCAGCCATCTTGTGGAGGCCATCTTATCCCCACATGGGGACAGCCATCTTGTGCGATGGTGTGGTGGTCAATTTGCATATTACCACTTTATTATATAGGATGGTGGGGGGGGATGGTATGTAAAAAAATAAGTGAAGAAATAGATGAAAAACTATGGCACAATGGCAGGAAAACTTCAGCACAATGAGGGAGGGTAAGATGAATGGCCATGGTATCATATTTGATAGGGAGTCAGGTAAGGACTCTCAGAGGAAGTGATAAAAAAAACACATGGATCTCTATGGGAAAACTGGTCCAGGCAAAAGGAAAAGCCAGTGCAAAGGCTCTGAGACAGGTATGTGCTTAAGGAAGATCAAAAAGACCAGAGTACCGTAGCGGGTCTGGCTCACTGGATAGAGCGTCAGCCTGTGGACTGAAGGGTCTCGGGTTTGATTCCTGTCAAGGGCACATTCCCTGTGTTTTGGGAAGGAGGCAGCCAACAATGATTCTCTCTCATTATTGATGTCTCTATCTCTCTCTCCCTCTCCCTTCCTCTCTGAAATCAATAAAATATATTTAAAAAATGACCAGAGTGATGAGAGCACAGTGAATGAGGGGAAAGGTGTCCCCAGGAACTGGATCATGTAGGGCACACAGAGCATGGTGAGCCAAGAAGCTTTTCTGCTACTCAGTAGCTTGTGCTAATTATCTTAGGCTTGTGTGATTTCATTTAAGAGAATGATATTTAAATATTTTAACGAGATAGGTATAGTTTTCACATCTCAGAGGAGACCTGCTATCTGAGTCTCCTATGGATTCAATTGTAAGAATGATAAGTTTCAAAGTTTAAATAAAAACCTCGGCACTGCTGGCTTCAAAGACCATCCATTGCATTATATCGCAAAGGTATAGTTAAGACGTAAAACTTTAATTAACTCTAACAGACTTTATGGTGCTATTTTCTAAGTCATGCAACCTACTCAAAGGTTCAGAAGGACTACTGGGGCAGAAAGACATATGAAAAAATGATTACAATTCAGTGTGATGCAGTGATGTGTAAGAGGTTAGTGCTGAGAAGGGAGTTAACTCCGTTTAAATATTTAGAAGAGCCAATACTAAATCTGAGTGGTGCATAAACATGAGTTGATGTAAGAGAGGGGGCAGGATCACCAGTGCAAACACATGAACTTATGAAACACATGACTTGAGCAGCAAGTTGCAAATATTTATCAATAAATTAGAGAAGAGATAGTCAAGGGCTGATCATTGATCATACCAATCCTTTGGACTTTAATCAATGGTTGGCTGCCACTGAGGAGAGACAGGAGATAAATAAGAGAAAAAAATGGAAAGAAATAAACTACATAAATAGGTTGTCTTTTAGCATAGTAATGGAAATGGAGTATGTCTAAAGATTTTTATTTCACCAAAATATTTTTAGAGTTTTAGAGACTAAAGAAAAGTAAAATATCTGAAGTGGCAAGATGTTTTTTGTTGTTGTTTGTTTTTAAATACATGTTTTTGAAAACTTCTAACTTTGGGGATTAGTTCAGATTGATTGTCATGATTTACAGGACTTGTTGGCATGAATCTTAATGGGAAATTGATCATTACAATTATTACAGGTTACCCTTTCTAGTTCAGCTATTCTCTGGTGTGTTAGTTCTTGATTATTTCATGAACTTTTGATACATTAGTTTTATCACAAATTTAGCAATGAGATTATAAGCATTAACCTTTTAGTAAACAAAGAAAAGTATGGTGGATCCTTGCTATCAATTTACCCTCTCTAACATTACCATTCTTTCACGCTATAAGATGTTTTTCTTCCCTTGAACTATGAGATAAGCAAATATGAAAAATGACAACATATTTCTCTGGCCATCAGACTAATTTAAGCCTTGCATCTTTTTAAAAAATACATTTTTTATTGATTTCCAAGAGGTAGGGAGAGGGAGAGAGAGATAGAAACATCAATGATGAGAGATAATCATTGATTGACTGCCTCCTGCTTGCCCTCCACTGGGGATAGAGCCTGGAACTCAGGCATGTGCCCTGACTAGAAATTGAAACCTTAACCTCCTGGTTCATAAATCCATGCTCAACCACGGAGCCACACCAGCTGGGCTAAGCCTTGCATCTTAATAGTTTGTTTTGCTGCTGAAGATCTAGCTGAGAGTTTTGGGGTATTTTTTTTGTTGTTTGTCTGTTTTTGTTGTTATTGTTTTATTTTTGTTGTTAGAGTTTATTTCTTTTTAAAATAAAGCTAAGCCCTGACCGGTTTGGCTCAGTGGATAGAGCTTTGGCCTGTGGACTGAGGGGTCCCAGGTTCGGTTCCAGTCAAGGGCATGTACCTTGGTTGCCGGCACATCCCCAGTGGGGAGTGTGCAGGAGGCAGCTGATCGATGTTTTTCTTTCATCGATGTTTCTAATTCTCTATCCCTCTCCCTCTCCCTTTCTCTCTCTAAAAAAATCAATAAAATATATTCAAAAAAATAAATAAAATAAAGCTAAAATAATCTAGCTTTCAGTCATGTCATAGTAGATTTCTAAAGTTATAGATATGTTCTAAAGCTAAAATGTCCTTGTGACAACTTAATTTTGCTACTAGAGAAAGATATGTTTATTTTAAGAGGTAAGGCAAAAATTAAGCTTGGCATGTTAATAAAACTGGAAATCTTGAAGTATTTATAATTTCCTGTCTCTAAATTTCTTGACCACACCTTACTAAACTGTCTCCCTGTTTACCACATGCAAAAGTAATTTTTTATTTCTACTTCAGTTAAAAACCTAAGCTCGTACACACGTTCTCCAATGTGTTGAATTGTGTGCTCTGAGAACAAGATAAAAGCAAGTCTGGCAAGCCTGCCCAAGTGTAACGTATATACTCTCATTAGTTTCCGCATGCTGAATATTCATCGAATGTGGGACACACACAATGTGCAGTTTTGAAATCCCCCCAAGTGTTGCAAAGCTATGTTAAAGTTGAGTCTCCAATTGAAGTTTATTTGTTGGATGAAGATTTGCAGAGAAATAGTAATGAAGATTCTGATATTTATTCTGTTGTGTTTTGTTTTTTTGACCATCCAGATTAAAGAACACCTGGCTAAGGGGCAACGAATGCTGGCAGGTGACGGGATGTCCCAAGTGACCAAGACACTGTTGGATCTAACTCAGAGGAAAAATTTCTATGCAGGGGATCTTCTGATGTCTGTGGAAATCCTCAGAAATGTGACAGACACATTTAAAAGGGCAAGTTACATCCCTGCCTCTGATGGTGTCCAGGTAAGGGAGAAATCCCATGAGGGAAAAGACTAGTGAAGATGCAATCAATTTTTGGCCCAAAGAAGTCAGTGCCGCCAGGAGGGAGAGAGCGCTCCCTCGTGCTTGGGGAAGTTTCTAGATTGTATTGAGTGCGAGCTCTGACAATGACCTCGATTCCCTTAGTCTACACCCCAGTGTCCTCAACCATAAAATGCTCATAATACACCTCAAGGAGATCCTGAATGAGAATGTGTGGGAAGTGCATTGAGCCCTCAGATAAAAGGCACTGTAGCAAATTCAAGGTTGTATCATGGACATTTAATATCACCATCTCGCCATAGGAGACTATTAAAAGTACATTAAGCATAATGAAAGCACATTAACTATAACATGCAAAGAAGACATACTTTAAGTTTGTTTGGGGTGTTGCTCCTAAAAGGGGGAAGGCCATATTTAATCTTGTGGAACCATTACCTGAAAATATCAGGCAGGTAGAGAATTGTTCTGGATAAGAAAGTCAGAAATTCAATAAGTCCTCACAGCATATTTTTCCTGTAATGGAAGATTTCTAGGGCAGCCTCGTTTACTTCCATAATAAAGTTGAAGTACTCACCCAATTTCAGTATTGCCTTGGCCATTAAAACACAGCTTGTTGAATGGCAGAAAAAGCATATTTAATATAACTCTAGTTTGCATTTCAGATTAACTCTTTTTGTGCTATAGGCTACCATGTATTCCTGCCAAGAATGCGGAGTCTATTTCTACATTTCCAGCATAATGTCCTTCCTGTATCTCTGCATAAAGTTCATTAAAGTAAAGGTTTGGCAAAATTCCCAGATCAGGTAGTTTTCCTTCAGCCTACTCTTCATTTGAGAGTTTTATTTGCATTTCACTTGGAGAAAGCAGAGGGTTTTGTTTTGTTTTGTTTATTTTTGTTTTAATCAGCTATTGAGAGAAAGAAAAAAAATAAAAGCTTTTTGGAATTATGAAATCATTCATAAATTATATCAATACCCTGATTGGTAAAAAAAGGGCACATATATTAATTAAATATAGATATATTCTGCTGAAAATAATGGCTGTGAGAATTATTGGAGGTGCATTCTCTATCATATCACCAGAATCCTTTTTTTTTTCACATATATATGTCCCCCTACTGGGGATCAAGCCTGCAACCTGGGCATGTGCCATGACAGAGAATAGAGCAGACAGCCTTTTGGTGCAAGGGACGATGCCCAACAAACTGAGCCACACCAGCCAGCTCCTGGAATACATTTTTAATTGTAAAAATACATTGGGAGGTAGGGTAGGGAGATTACCATCATTTGAGCATTTCAAAGGTATTTTCTTCCTCACAAAGAATGAAACAGTTCCATAATTTTCAAATTAAATAAAGTAAGTCAAGTACAGCTTTTCCCTGTAGTTCTGAAATACTTCTATTCATTAGCATTTACATTAAAAAATGACATTAGAAGTCCTTGACACAATGCAAATGTTGTAATTTCAAAACTCCTCAGACGTGTTCATGGGGAAACATCAGGCAGAATGGTGCTCTAAATAATCTCTAGGGCCTCTTCTGACTCTCAAGAGTGTAGGACTTTAAGATTTTAGGTGGAAAAATTCAAGCAACTGAGATTAGCAGATTTTGGGGGAACATATTTTGATTGAACTACTCCCTACAGTACATTGACTCAATGTACAATTAGTTTAACCAAAGGCTTAGTCATGGACATTAGCTGGTTTGACTAAACAGAGCCATTTCGCTGTTTTGTTGACATTTTGGCATAATCAGAAATAGGTCCCTCCATTTCCGTCCTACTCTCTCATTAGCCCTCCATTTATACCCATATTCTGCACAAGTGGTGTCCTAGTCATTCTTTCACAGCAGGAGCTGTGTTTTTCTTTTTCATTGTCTCTTCTGGTCTTTTCAGGCACCTGGTATGCCCTCCTCTTCTAGAATTCTTTTTTCTCCATCTCCACAGGTCAAAATCCTAGCCCAACTCTAGCAACTCTTTCTGAATGCCAGACAAGCAAGCCCCTAACTCCATTCGAAAATGATCTTTCTCTTTTCTGAAATCCCAGAGAACTTTTTAAATTTTTCACAAAAATTTTATACAAATATTATGTATATTTGTGTTATGTATATATATTATATTATATATATATAGTCTTTGCATGAACTCCAGTTTATAGACTTCATTAATATCTCATGTACCTAACTTATACTTCAGTTTCCTATTTCCAAAGGTTCTGGACATTTCTGGTTGACTAGGATCTCAGGCTTAATATGGAACAAACTGAACTCATCTTGAATTGCAAATTTTCTCCTTCCCTTTATAGAACCAGCAGTCTATAGGCTGGAACTCTATTGCCATCTTGACATAATTGGGGAAGTAGGGAAGGCAGTGGAGGATATAGAGTAAGCGTGCTTGCCCTCTAGGCAGAATACTGAGCTTCAGGTCATGACTTCTGTACTTGTGGTCAGTGATGCTAGATAAGTTACTGGACTTCTCCGTGACTCAATTTTCTCTTCCATTATATGGGATAAAGCTACTTTATAGTGCCAATGTGAGGACTAAATAATCTATGTAAAACTTACAAGCATGTTTCAAATAGTAAGAGCTCAAACAATGTAGCTCTTATTATCCCAGAAGGTGTGCAATACCCTGATGGAGCAAAAGCCCAAAGCATCCCTGGACCACAGGTGTCTGCTGCCCATGCAGGGGTGGATTTTGTTGTCTCTCCTAGCAAGAAAGGAAGGTTAGATGCTCCTCATGTCATTGACTCATAAAGAATGGTGCTGATTTTTTTCCTTTTCCACTCGCTACAGAGGAGAAGGGCAGGGAAAATGTCAAGGAAAATGGGAGTCAGAAAGAATCATCAATCCTTGAAGTTGACACTGAAGGGCCATTTGAAAGCTGGAGAGTATGTGGATGAAGAGAATGGCTTAAATCAATACTTGGGATTCCTCGCACAGTGGGAACCAGGTCTTGAACAGGACCATAACACCCAGCTGACAATTGCTCCAAGTCGTAAATGACTGCTGTTTTCAGTGCTTAACAGCCTGAGAGGATTCCCTGTTGTTTCTCTGTGGTAGAGAGAGCCTTGTACAAATAACAGCTCTTTCTTGTCAGTATTTAAACCTTGCCCTTACTCTAAAGGTGAAAATGAGAAATTCAATGCCAAATAATGTCCTTAAATGGGTGAGATATTAAGTAACAAATCTTGCTTCACAAATCAACATGAGTATACCCTTTAGCAGATGGCTGCTGGCTGCTAGGAGCTCACAGTCTCCATAGGAGAGTACAGTACAAAGTATGTGCGGCAATCAGGTGGGCAGAGCGAGGGAGACAAAGATGTTTTGAGAGAATATATATATACACTAGAGGCCCGGTGAACAAAATTCGTGCACTTGGGTGGGGGGTATCCCTAAGCCCGGCCTGCACCCTCTTGCAGTCCAGGAGCCCTCGGAGGATGTCTGACTGACAGCTTAGGGGAATGGGCCTAAACCAGCAATCAAACATCCTAAGCCAGAAATCGGACATCCTTAGTGCTGCTGGCAGAGGCAGGAGAGGCCTCCTGCCACCACTGCTGTGCTTGCCAGCCATGAGCCTGGCTTCTGGCTGAGTGGCGCTCCCCCTGTGGGAGTGCACTGACCACCAGGGGGCAGCTCCTGCATTGAGTGCTTACCCCCTGGGGGTCAGTGCATGTCATAGCGACTGGTCATTCCACTGTTTGGTCAATTTTCATATTAGCCTTTTATTATATAGAATAGTGCAGCCTGTCAACTAAAAATGCCATGGCAGGTGAATAAATGGTTGTGGTTTTATTTTTTAAAAAACACAGTGAAACGTCTGAGGTGGTTTTGTCCTTTCAGAACCCCCCATTGTTTACTTCGGAGTCAATAAAATACTGAGATTTGGGTTAATACAATGTCTCTACAGGTAGTTTAGTTTTCTATTGTGATTCCATTTACTATGAAATATTGGGAGAGCCCTGGCCCAGTGGCTCAGTTGGTTGGAGTATTGTCTAGTACCGGGGTCGGCAAACTGCGGCTCGCGAGCCACATGCAGCTCTTTGGCCCCTTGAGTGTGGCTCTTCCTAAGCCTTAGGAGTACCCTAATTAAGTTAATAACAATGTACCTACCTATATAGTTTGAGTTTAAAAAATTTGGCTCTCAAAAGAAATTTTAATCGTTGTACTGTTGATATTTGGCTCTGTTGACTAATGAGTTTGCCGACCAAGGGTCTGAAAAAGTTGTGGTTTGATCGATTCCCAGTAGGGTGTATATGGAAGGCAATCTCTCTCTCAGTCTCTCTCTCTCTCTCTCTCTCTCTCTATCTCACGTTCCCTTCTTTTCTTCTCTCTAAAATGAATAAAAACCTATCCTTGGGTGAGAATCCAAAAAAATTCCTGGGACATGTATTAGTTTGCTAGAGCTGCCATAACAAATAAGACAGACTACGTGGCCTCAACAACAGAAATTTACATTCTTATAATTCTAGAGGCTGGAAGTCCAAGATGGTTTCTCCTGGGGCTCTCTCCTTAGCTTTGCACAAGGCTGCCTTCCCCTGTGTCCCCCATCTGGCTGTGTTCTCTGTGAGCACCCAACCTAGTATCTACGTGTCCTGACGTCATCCTATAAGTACACCTATTGAATTGGATGAGGGCCCACTCTAACGGCCTCATTTTAACTTAGTTACCCCTTCCAAGGCCTTGCACCCACATACTCTCACATTCTGAGGTCCTGGGGGTTAAAGCTTCAAGTTAATGAACTTGGGGGCAGCCACTATTTGGCTCAGATGGGGAATCTTGAGAATTTCCCTTTAGCAAAGAGTCATGTGCCAGGCCTCTTCCCAAGGGAAAGGACCTGCTCTGGCTTCTGCTTGTAGTGTTGTCAGGGGTAAACTTGTAATTCACACATGATTCTCACACATGCTGACTCTTTGATGTGTCAGCCAGGCCTGCCCAAACTTGGGTGTTGGGTCACTACTTCATTCCTTACTTAAGAAGCACCCCT